TCCAACTCACCACAGGTGGTGATCAGTTGACAGCTCCGCTCCTTTCTTCACTCGGGTGTCCAAAACATATGGCCGCAGGTCAGATGATACGACTACAAAGTCTATCATCGACCTGCAACCTAGGCTGCCCTGGTACCAAGTGTACCGATGGGCATCCTTATGTTCGAACATGGTGTTTGTTATGGCCAAACTGCGGCTTGCACAGAAGTCCAATAATGAAACACCACTCGAGTTCAGATCAGGCGGGCCGTTCCTCCCAATCACACCCCTCCAGGTCATGCTGTCATTGTCCACGTGAGAATTGAAGTCCCCCAGCAGGACAACGGAGTCTCCTGATGGAGCACTATCTAGCACTCGTGCCAGGGACTCCAAAAAGGGTGGGTACTCTGAACTGATATTTGGCCCATAAGCACAAACAACAGTCAGGACCTGTTCCCCGACCCGAAGGCACAGGGTAGCTACCCTCTCGTCCCCCGGGGTAAACCGCAACACACAGGCAGAGAGTCTTGGGGCTAACAAAAAGCCAACCCCAGCCCTCCGCCTCTCACCCGGAGCAACTCCAGCAAAGGAGAGTGTCCAACCCCTCTCAAGGACTTGGGTTCCAGAGCCAATGCTATGTGTCGAGGTGAGTCCGACTATATCTAGCCGGTACCGCTCAACCTCTGCCACAAGCTCCTGCTCCTTCCCCGCCAGCGAGGTGACGTTCCTTGTCCCAAAAACCATTTTCCTTGTCCGGGGATCGGACCGCCAAGGCTCCCGTCTCGGTCTGCCATCCAATCCACACTGCACTGGACCCTTCATGTTCCTCCTGCTGGTGGTGGGTCCACAGTTGGAAGAGACCATGTATTCGGTTCGGGCTGGGCCCGGCCGGGCCCCATGGGCGAAAGCCCGGCCACCAGGCGCTCGCTCACGGGCCCCAACCCCAGGCCTGGCTCCAGGGTGGGACCCCGGTAACCCTCCGGGCCGGGTACTCCGACTCTTTGAATTTACTTCCATGAAAGATCCTGTGAACCGTTCTTTGTCTCACCCTTCACCTAAGACCAATTTGTCATGGGAGACCCTACCAGGAGCACAAAGTGCCCCAGACAACATAGCTCCTAGGATCATTAGGGCACTCAAACTCCTCCACCACGATATTCATAGAGTGCATAATCTGGGAGATAAGTTCCTTCTGGAAGAAAAACATCAGTTCAGACAATGTTCTGGATTTTTCCACATGTTCATGATTCTGAATCCAACAACCTCATGTCACTCACTTCTTAATCTGTAAAAATGTACTATACATGTTATTTCTGAGATGTCACAACCAATCCAGCGTCTGTTGACACATACCTGACACTGCTCTGCATCCGTCTGTGTTAAGGGGGACAGGAGGTTTCCATGATCCAGCCCTCCCTTCAGGTCTCCTTGGTGGAAGATCTATTCTTCATTACTGTCAACCATCCATCCCCTGAGAAGCGATCCTTAGCTGCTTTGGAGCTTAAGGCCACATTTTTTGCTCGTCACCTAACCGTTCCACACAAATAAACACTGAAGCTGAGGATTTCTGTAAACATGTCTGGAGTGAACACCAAACCCGCGCTCTCTACAAACTTCCAGTGGCTGAACTAAGTCATTAATCACATTGTGACTTCCCAGAGGTGGCTGTCAGTTTTAGGGTAGGAGTAGTGATTCCTCATCTGTAAGTGAAAAAACAAGCGGCGTGCAGACGGAAAGGATAAATTACTTGAGAAGTGAAGACAGGCATCATTCAACAGCTGGCCATCTGGCCCTTATCATGTCCCTGACTGGTTGATTTTATTACTTTTCATTGCTTTCTGAACACTCAAGAGGGATTTCTGCAAATGGCCTGTCAATCTAACCTTAGATAATTATTCTGGAATTTAAAGATGATTCCTTCATTAAATTATGGGCTTTTTTCCAGGGAATCTGCTGGTAAAAATCTGTATGTTATGCTCTCACTTTAACAGCAACCTATCCATTATTATCCTGATCAACATATGGATAGGGTACTGAATAAGAACGCTGTCAAAAAGTGATAAAAGCTCAGATAAGCAACAAACAATTTTTTAAATAAACATACAGAAAATATAGGGGAAAACAAGTCTGTACTTCCTGTTTACTCAAGATTTCAGATACTCCCTTGTCCCCTGCTCCGGAGCATACAGGTATGTGTTAACACAATGCCAACTGTTGCTGCCCATCATTCTGAGCAAATGGTCACTTCTACATCCAAAGTTAAATTAGATGACAAGACAGTCAGAAAAAGAGCGAGCCGGTATCTTACCTTACCCATAATGCACAGCTGCACAAACAGCTAATCCCAGATAGCACGGTGGAGAAGGCCTGATGGTTTGGGTTCCTCAATGAACACCAATCTTTCAAGTTTCCTGAAATTAATAATTTCTGGCATATCCCTGCAATAGAAAGAAAATCTGCATTTAATCACAATTTTTTTTTTCAAATTTTTAATATTTCTTTAATTGTTTTCTTTAAAATCTTTTTTATTTATTTATTTATTTTTGTTCTTGTGAAGCACCTCAAGATTTTTATGTGAGGTACTATATAAAAGATTGTTTTCTTTCTTTCTTCTTTCTTACATTAGATATTTAAAATAATAACGTGCTTCATGTATTGCTCGTGGTCATTAGTATATATGTACACATAGTTTTAATTAGTAGTAACTTCACATAACAGGAATGTGTCACATCTCCAGTCCAATAACAAATCTCCAGCTGCCTTGGACTACTCCCTTACCCCCTAACATCCTTCTTTCCGTTCTCTCACTCTTACTTCCTCACCTGTCAGAGGTGGAATGTTGCTGGCGGATACAGTCCTCCAGGGTCCAGCTCCTGACAGATGTAACGATGCTCAGTCAAAGCGTTTACCAGCTCCTGTTCACGAGAACCAGACAGCAGCTGCTGTCTGCCCAGAGAAGACGCTACCGCGGGTCAGAAGTTAATGAAAAAGATGCAACAGGAAAGATGGACCTGAAAATGGACTCACTCATGGGCTGCATTATATAAAAACCAGGAACAAAGCTGATTTGATCATATTTTACCTTTTTTTACTGAACTAAGAAGTGTGACTCACACTAGGTGCAGCTCTCATGCCACTTTCTGTAATGATGATCTCACATTAGACTTTAAAATGGTGGACTCAGTAGTTGCAGGAGCCCAAACCATCAGCCCTCCACCACAATGCTGTGATCAGCTGATTTTGCTGCAGTGCATTATGGGTTAACATCTTCACATTTCCAGAAGTCTGGTTCATTCAGATGAAACTTGACCAACCTGAGCTGTCATGCTCCTTTCAGACAGAAGAGGTCTGTGTTTTTACTCCAAGCAGTCTCTTTTAAACAGGTTTTCTTATTGCTTTGTGTCCTTAGACTGCAGATAACAGACCTACTGTGTGTGCAATTAAATTTTCAGTTTCAATCAATTATTGCATTTTCCTTCCTTTTTTCTGCCAACAGCAGACAGAGTAGTGCAGAATATGTGATCCCTCCCCCAGGAGGAAAGAGGCTCTGCGGATCCACTCTGCCCGGCGCCTGCTCCGCGCTGTGGCCGATCTTTAATGGCAAATTTCCAGCTCTCAGCAGGAAAGGAAGTGGCTCTCACAGGCAGAGCGCCATTCGCCCTCTACTGGGCGGAAGCCAGGCCTCAATGAGGCCGTCAGTCGAATAGGTCATGCTGTCAGAGCGCGCCACAGTTCACATCCTCTCATTAGACTGCAAGACTCTCAACATCTCATCACAGGGGAAAAGATAAGTCAGGGGAAATGTGCTGACTCACAAAGGTGATGAAACCACCTGACTGTGCAGGTGTAGTCAGGTAGCGGACGGGATCTAATTTGCCAGAACAACCAAAGGCAGGTCCAGTTTTATCTTCTGAAAATCTTCATTTCAACTTTTGATTTTTTAATTAAAATATTAAATAATAGATACTTTAATCTATTCCTTATAAGAATCATAATAAGCACATTATGAATCTGTTAGATCTATGTGATTATTTTACACACCATGCCTCCAAATTAGCTGATTTCCATTAATAATAATATCAGATCCATATTTTTGATTAATAAGCAAAAAAAGTCATACTTGCAGATACCAGATTATCAATTTTTTTATTTTAAATAATGGTAAATGGCCTGTATTTGATATAGCGCCTTAGAGTCCTGAACCCCCCAAGGCACTTTACAACACAATCAGTCATTCACCCATTCACACACTGGTGGGGATGAGCTACCATGTAGCCACAGCTGCCCTGAGGCGCACTGACAGAGGCGAGGCTGCCGAGCACTGGCGCCACCGGTCCCTCCGACCACCACCAGCAGGCAAGGTGGGTTAAGTGTCTTGCCCAAGGACACAACGACAGCGACAGACTGAGGGGGGCTTGAACCTGTAACCTATTACTGGGCGAGCACTTAGCTCTTGTGCCACAGAGTTTTAATCTCTTAGCAGCTTCATTTCTCTTCTCTTTGGAGCTGATTTTTATAAACTTTGACTCAACAGAAATAAAAAAAATGTTGAATTTTTATTACCAAGTGTTAATTTTAGCAGTTTTCATTGAATGATTTGCACCAAATGCAAGTGATTCAGATGATTTACTTACCGTATTTTGCTTATCTTTATCAAATACATAACTGGATCTCTGTGGTTCTGTTTGGTTTATGGCTCAAAAAACATATTTTATTTATGCCTCCAGGCAGATTTTAGTTAGTAGAAAAATGCATTTTGACTGAAAATTTAGCATTAAAGTGTATTTAATTGAGCTATCAATCACACATGCGGATTTGAAGTGAATAGAAGCTAGCATGCATTAGCTGAATCCGGTCGTTCAAGGTGAAAATTTAAACTTTTTGATTACGATTAGGATTAAACTCTGCCAATGTCAAATTAGTGCAGAATTTGATCTGAACTGCAACTTTTATCTGCAGTTTTAGGTTCAGATTTACAGAACACGTGTGTGTTTGAGATGCAAAAAGAATCTACTCACAGAAACGAGCTAGAGAGTTTATTTGTTAAACAAGTATATAAAGTTGCTGTGTTACGTGTTGTGGTTCTCTACATCCGTCAGTGGCTTAGAAAGACAACTAACAGAAACAAAACAAGTTAGCAAACATATCAAAATCAGTTTTTACAACTTTTGTAGCAACCAACTCTTTCTATTGGTGTGCCATAGTGCAAACTGTTGTTTGTGTCTCAACATTCATTCATCTTTTTCTCTGTCTTCAACAGTTTCTCAGGTTGCATTCTTCAAGCCTTCAGTTCAAGTCCTTCAGTCCACCAAGGTGAAATTACAATCAGAAGAGTTCAAGTGTGTCGGGCAGTTTGAGCTGGATGTGACTGGTTCTGGAGCGCGTTTGGGTCAAAAATCACAACCTGTCAAGGCCTAAAGTGGTACTTCACCCTGCAGGGAAAGGTTTCACTTCCACCGCTTGCTTTTAGGATGCTATTCACTGATTCTGAGTTTTACTCATGATAAAAATGTTCATTTATACTTCTGGGATCATTCTGCCAGAGTGAAACATCACTTCAAAGAGTCTCAGTGTGTTTCGAGACAAAATTTCAGAAAATAAACTCACAAAGCGTAGCAACAGGTTTGTGTCTTGGCTGTGACGTCATGGAGTGTAATCAGGCTGCTGTTTATATGGAAAGTGTGAAAAAAAGACATTTTTGGATAACTTTGATCTTCCCCATCATGTGTGTGTGTGTGTGTGTGTGTGTGTGTATGACTAAGAGTGACTGAAGGAAAAAGATATTGGTGCTACAGAATGCCAGTCATGAAAGCGCTGCCCAGCAGGAAGATCGGGCGGTTTGTGGCCTTAACGCTGCCTCTATTGCACCGTGGTCTGCAGGAAAGCACAGGAACTGGTGGATTGTGTCAGAGAGTCTGATGTTTGGTGGGGTCTTCATCTTCCTTCACTCAGGAGCAGCCGCAGCGGTCTACCACCATTGAGGGAATCTTACCATAGATGATTTGCTCTTTGCGGTTAAAGTAGAGCATGTTGATGGGCGACATCTTGGTGGGGGTACAGCAGGGGCCTGCGGTCCCTCTGGGGTTGGCTTTGTTCACTAGGTGAGTGTGGGGGTACTTCTGCAGGTGCATGTATTCACATTCCCCAGAGCAATAGTTGGCTTTGTAGCGCTTTGGGGCAATAATCCAGTCCCAACCAAAATCCTCAAAGTCCACCGTAAGGGGGTAGCGGCAGCACCGGGACTCCGGAGAGTTCTCATCACAGTCCAGACCCGAGTCTCTCCTGACACGCTTGGGGCCCTCAGAGATTTTAACCTCCATGAACGGTTGCTGAAAGAACAGAGAACGAGTGAACACTTGATGATTTGCACAATTTAGAAGCATTTTTCCATTTCTGCCTTTGATCCAACCAAGTTTTACCTGTAAATAAAAATGATTACAAATTCACCTTATAGGGACAACAGTATGTGTCTGATTTACACACTTTGAGGAATGTGCGGAGGGATAAAGTTTTATGCAATAAAAACTGGCTGGGCTTCAAGTGCACCAACATGGAGCTGTCAGAAGGTCTTTTTTATCCAGACTCCTTTATCCAACAGTGGGGTGCTGGAACAGAACCACCTGCTGATTCTGCAAAGCCTGCAACCACCTCTACTGTTTCATCAGGTTTTAATCTTGCTTTTGAAGTTATTGGGGCTCTCAACAACCTGAAACACTGCTGCAGCCTTGAATCAAAACGTTTGCAGGAGATTTAAACATAAAACGAACTCACCAGTCCCTCCTCTCCAGGCTCTGTGGAGGTCACGGCTAAATCATTCCCCCGGGAGTCGAAAGCGTTGATCTCGATGCCCCAGTTGGTCTCCGGCTGCCGCAGCCACACGGCCAGCACTTGTTTCACGTCTATACTTTGCCAAGAGCTGACCCCAGCGTTCAAGTCGATTTTCAACGAGCGGATCCGTATGTGCCTGGTCCCGTCCGTGACCGGCGTGAGGCGGGAGATCTGCAGGAACACGGTGCTTGCCTCGTCCGCCTCGCGCAGATGCACCCAGAGCTGCGCGCGGACGATCCGGTTGGCTTGAAACTTGTCGTTGAAATAGAAAAGGCAGCATTTTGGCTGTCCAGTCACCTGAACAACGGGCTCGGCTGAATAAAACAGAGAAATGATCATATTTAACTAATTACGAGTAAAAATGACAAACAGCTGTAATGTTGACATAAATGTTTATCTCGTTATTGTAGTTAAAGCTCAGTCCTTGCGTAAGCTTTACGCAAATAAACTAAAGAAACCAAGCACTTACGTTCCGTAGCCATCATCATAATTGTCTCCGTGGTTGCATGCTCATCGTCTTCCTCCATAACCCCATCCATGCTGTCATCTCCCAGCACATCGTACTGGTCCAGCAGCTGCTGCAGCGGCGGCGCTTTGGGCAGAAGCTGCTGCACAACGTCGCGGCTGATATTTGGAGCTTCCTTCATCCGCAGTTTGCTCAGAATCTGGGACTTTATTGCGTTTAATCGCATTGTCTTGATCTGCTGCCGTACCTCGCAGCTTGTGCACTGCTCAGAGTCCGCGGGGCTGGAGGAGGCTGACGGCTGCTGGTGCGTCTCCTGGTCGCTCAGAACGACTGAACCCAAAGCAGTCAAGCAGAGATACAGCGCAATCTGAGACAGATGCATCGTCTAAAACCCGTGAAGTTCGGTGATTTTGGTTTATTTGTTTGTTTTTAAGAAGAAAACGTAAATAAAGATCCTCTGATGCGCGCTTGACTTGGTGCGCCTCAGAACCGAGTTTGGATGAATGAGGCGCGCTGACAGGAGTCATGCTTTATTAGCGCGCACCTTTTTATACTCCAACTTTAGCTTCTTTTGTGTCGTCAAAAACTATGATTGGCTGGACAGGCAGCAATGGACCGTAGCCGACTGAGATGAACGCGAGTAGTGGCGACGGGAAGGCACGCGCTGCAGCTCATCACGTCAAAAAATCAGAACATGTTTCAATCATCCCCGAGAAATGATCTACAGTCACACACAGGGACAAACATCTCGGATGAATTTGGTGGAAATGTTGAAGTTAGAGCAAATGACCCAAATATGTATACATTTCATTAAAGTCCTCCTTTAACTTCCATTAAGTAACATATTAGCTATAACAACATTTACCAGATCGCGTTTAGCAAAGAGCAGCATAAATGTTTCCTTATCTTTAAAATTAAGTTTATACATAAATCATTACAACGCTTAATGATGAGAAGATAGCACCATCGTGTGGCACATCACACCTGGCATTATGTAGCCTATACATGATATTAAAACAACCATAATTTATAAAAGTGATCATTTACTTTAAAATTTCTTAGAAAACCCGAGTTCAGAATTAAATCAGATTAAACGACTTTTTCCCTGAGTTCTAAGTCACATTGGGGTTTTTATTATTTATTTATTTTATTTTCTCTCTAATATCATGTTTGTTGACTTATTGCATACTGTGAAAGATAGAGTACAGCATCTCGGGCTTCCACGAAGGTGGAAGGTGCGATGATGGTGATGATGATGATGATGATGGTGATAAATGATCAGAGTGATAAAGTACATTCATAGGCTATTTTAAATTATTTTGTTATTTAGAAATTTTAGAATATTTTTGTGAGATTCCTGGTTTTAGTAGCTTGAGACTTGAGTTTTTGTTGGTTTTTAATTTCGAATTAGCAGCCTACATCATAAACATGAAGGGCAGACATTGTTTTTGATCACTGACATTTTTGTTGAATAAAAAAAATATTTATTTAACAAAGTCTCTTGATTGTAAAAAGTATTACAGATCAAGAATATTGTGGTCTGACACTTAAAACGCTTCTAAATTGTCTCAGATTGTAATTTATTGTTAAATATACACATGAAAGAGAGATCATTTTGAAATCCATCAACTCTAACAGGAAGTACATACTATTTTGAAAGGCACAACCGGAAGAAGTAATCTCGCTCCTTCTACGTTACTGGAAACGGCAGCGGTAGATTTCAGCTCTAGTTTATAAGGATGCCTTTCATCGACCTTCAGACTAATCTACCGGCCACTTTGTTCACCGATGACTTCTTAACGAGGTTTTGCTCCGCCGCCGCGGCGGCGCTGGGGAAACCGGAGGACGTGAGTAACTCAGTCGCGTCTAAACCACATTTCGTCCACAGTTAGAGGCGTTTTGTCTCGTTAGTTAGGAAATCCTCCGATAGGTGTTATAAATCAGGATGTTTTATATTACCTGGTGGCCTTCAAGAGCTGCTGGTGTTGTGTCGAGATAAGTATCCCTGACGCTTCTCACGTGACGTGAACACACGTTTGAAAACACTCGTTTCGATTAAACGTAAACTCTTTTGTTACCTCTAAAACACACATTTCACTGTGGTTCAAAAAACGAGAAACAAACGAGATTAAACATTAACACAATAATTATTTCTGTGTAACTTCCCAAAAATGTGGCTGGTCAAGGGCCTTCTCATATTTCTACAACCTCCCAAGGCGCTTCACAACACACACACACACACACACACACACACACACACACACACACACACACACACACACACACACACACGCACGCACGCACGCACGCACGCACGCACGCACACGCACACACACACACACACACGCACGCACGCACGCACACACACGCATTCACACACGCTGGTGATGAGCTACCATGTAGCCACAGCTGCTCTGGGGCACACAGGCAGAGACGAGGCCTGCTGAACACTGGCACCACTGGTCCCTCTGACCACCACCAGCAGGTCTTACCCAAGGACACAACAGCAGCATTCTCTGGTGGGACAACTCGCTCTACCTGGTTATTATCTGATAAACCACAGATGTTATTAAAGAAATTAGTTTGTTTGTATATAAATAACAAAAACAGCTTCCCAGACTCCTGATTTTCCTGTCATCTTTTGGACTTTTTCCTGCTCAGAACCTGGTGTGCCGTTTGTTTTAAAAATCCAAGAACAAAATAGGTGTAATAACAATTATAATGTTTTCATTGTGTGCTTATTAAAACTATGTCTAGCAGACGTTTACTATTTAATAATTATAAATACATTGAGTCATTTTTGCCAGTTTTAAAATGACATTCAGATCATCAGCTCACTGTTTTCCTTTCAGAGGATGAATCTGGTGGTGAGTCCCGGCCTGCGGATGCTGATAGCTGGTTCTTGCTCTCCGTGTGTGATGGTTGCAGTTTCGGCGATCTCAGTTACCGACACCGCAGAAAAGAACAAGGAGCACAGTGCCAAGATCTTTGAGTTTCTGACTAAAGAACTCAATCTGAGTGACGACAGGTGAGTTGCACTGTTCGGTGAGAACTGCATGATCAGATATTGTTTAGAAACTTATTAAAAACCTTATATTATAATTAAATTTACATCATTTTATTCCTTCTCAGTTTATTGACAAGTTATCAGATGATTGACTTAATTCGTGTTTTACTTCAGAATTGTGGTTCTGGTTTCTTTTAGAGATCAGACATGAATCCTTAACAGTTAGGTACCGGTAATCAGCAGCCGACTGATGACTTGGTTTTGTTTTGCAGGATTGTAATTCAGTTCCATGAGCTGCAGCCTCACCAAGTGGGGAAGAAAGGAACCGTCGTGAGCTTCCTGTGAAGAACTTATCTTTTGGAACATTTATTGCCAAATCGAGGCTAAGCTAAAACCTCATGTGAGAGGCGTTTATGTCTGTGAAACAACTTACATGTAATCTGTTGATGAAGACCAAAACGATTTCTTTCTGCTTTTATTTTTAGCATCTCAGCTGTCAGGTCACTTTAAGGGGAGATATCCAGAGTTCATGTTCTTTAGCTGTAAAATTATCAATAAAATTAAAACAAAACATTTTTTGCATTATTTCATCCTGCCTTTACAGAACTGAAAAAAAACAAACCAAATCTTAATGTTGAGAAAATTGTAATTATTACAAAAAACACAAGACCTTCACAGTAACTGAAGGCTGTCTTATAAATAAAACTTAATGTATTCTTTTAAATTTAAATAAACTTCATGATGCTGTCAGGATCCCACTGTGGACACAATCACTTAATTAGTTCATCTTTGAGTCTTCGTCCTGTTATCCTCAGTTTGTGCCTATTTTATTTCTTTGATTATGTCAGAATTTTCTGGGTGGAAATCTCATTTAAATTCAGCTGAATTTCACAACAAATAAAAAGCTGAAAAGAGGTCCGACGTTCATCCACATGCAGTTCTGTGGGCCACCAGTCAAACAGTCTGATTAATGATTAATACCAACAGTCTGACCCTGCGACTTACCCCACAGATGGTGTAAAAGGACTGAACCCTCAGGATAATCTAACGGTTACATTTAACACAAAGGTTGTGAAATAGATCGTTTGACATCAAAAATGTTTGATTTAGTCATTAATGTTTGTTGTATAGTCCCACCAGATCAAACTCCACAGGAAACATACCAAACTTCCTTAAAACCTATAATTGTGTTTGTGATGTCATCAGTGCGGTTTTTACCTGGGGAGAAACGTGTTTGCTGTCACTGCTTTTTAAAATTTCTATCTTCTTTTTTGTTAGAAAATAAATTAGAATAAATTTTTAACAGCTGGGCTGTGATTGAGCTGCTGATACAGTCTCGCGCCAGCAGGGGGCGCGACTTCACACCTGGACAGCGGTTCTGGAATGTGGGTTCTTTCTCGGAATTTCCTGTAGACGCCTCCTCTGGACTCATACATGAGTATTTAGTTGCGGCAGCTTCGCGTTTGCAGCAGTTTAACTGTTTCATTGGCTTAAAAATCGTGAGCAACCCTTGCGCCTTGCGTAGAAGAAGAAAATGGCTGTTGAACTCTTTCTGGATCTTTTCTCGCAGCCCTGTCGCGCCGTCTACATTTTCGCAAAGAAAAACAACATTCCCTTCGAGTTCAGGAGAATTTCTCTGATGGATGGTGAGTTCACATCAGGTTGACATTCAACCAAAAAAACCCCTGCTCTGCTGGTTTTCTGAAAACTCCCAAAACAGCTGCAAACGCTTTACTCTCAAGTGTTACTTAATAATGTTCAAAACTAGGGACATTGTTGACGCAGCCATTTGAAGACAGGAGAACCGACGGCCAGTTACCCTTGACGGAGGAACGAACAAACACCATGCAGGCAGAGCCGGATTAAAGAAATGGACTACACTAGGCAGGCTGCATTTTTAGCCCCCCCAACCCCCCCCCCCCCCCCCACACACACACACACACACATCGATGTTATTTAATGAATTGAAATCTGAAACTTACCAAATTTACTTATAAAAGTTCATTCACATTTTACATAGCCTAGTCTTTGGTTACAAATTGGTTGTTTGTATGCCAAAATAAGTCATGTGTTGTATGTAAAATATTCTATCAGAATTTTTTTTTAATATTAGTCATTTATACGTCATTACACAGCTGTATTAAATGCTAATAAATGATCCTCATCTTATCGATTGGGAGTGTCATTGTCATGGCGGTACCAGTAAATAACCACTAGGTGTAATTAAACTATGTAAACAGAGCAAATATGTGTCTCTTATTTGCTGTTTATATTTAATCACTACATTTAATTAAAAAGATTTTCTGCTAAATACAATAGCTTACAACATTTATAAATGTTGACAAATTAATCACATGATAGTGGAAAGACATTCAAGAATAAATAGATTCATTTGAATGGACTGAAGCATGTTTTAAAGGCGCAAAAACAAACTATAAACACGCAGCCTAAATTATTACAGTATAAATTTAATACAATCTATAATCTTAAAAGAAAGTATTTTAATAAAATGAAAACGTTATCTTGAGTTTTGATCTTGCTTTATGCTCATTCAGGCTGTTTTTGCCTCTGCTGAATCAGAAATTCGGTGTGAATTTTCTGAGTGTATTGTTTTGCTATTTGAACATTAATAAAATTATTTGACAAATAATTAATAAAACCAGCAACACTTACCAAGGAAACCATTTCGCATTCTCCACTCCGGGATAATCTTCAGCCTTCCAGCATCACAGGCCTCAATCACAGCAGAAACACGTCTGAAGAAATGTTCCTTGGTTAAGCTTCGGTTTATGTCTCCACATTTCCTCTGTGATGCAGAAGAATATCCAACATTTTGAGAGGGATGGTTTAGTGCAAAGTACTCACGCATCGTGTCATCAGTTTGGTACCACTGTAGGATCAGATGGGTAGCTAGTTGTTAATACCCTTTCTGGGTCTAGAGGCTCCTGTAAGACTATATTGGGCTCACTTCTGGCTGGCTGCTGTTCTTCCAGTTTGTCCTTCTGCGATGGCGTTGATGTCGACTGCGTTGGCGCTACAGCGTCTTCCGCTGCATTTCCCGCCGCATCTTCGGGTCGTGTCTCCTCCGGTTCTGACTTGGGCCCGGCCTCTGGCTCTGCTGACTCGAGCATGTTCACAGCTGTCGGACGGCTGCCCGAGCAGCCCCACAGAAACTTCTGTAACCCCCCCCCCCCCCCCCCCTGTCTCTTCTTTTGTTCCTCTTCATTTTTTTTTTACGTTTTGCTGCACCCGAAAGCATCGTGAGAGTTAGCCTACTCAAAAACACCTGCTAGCTTTGTTGTGTCCCGCTCTGACTCTGCCCGCTTCTCTGACGTCCTTAATTGGGTGGCGCCTTAATGTGACGTAGCCAATGTAACGGTCTATGGTTAAGATAAACAGTGTCACTATTTTTAGTTAATTAATAAATATTGAAAGAAATTGTAGATAGGAGTCCTATCTACAAATTCTATCATAGGACATTTGTACATTTAGTTTTTAATTTATTTATTTTTAATTTTGTTCCTCTGTCTGGGCCCCATCCAGCCAATCAGGCCCTAGGCACGTGTCTACTTTGCCTTTGCGTTAATCCGGCTCTGCATGCAGGCACTATTCAGTATGTACAGGTGTTCTGGGAATGTAGCAGCACTGCGCCCTTTTATTCATGCAATCACATTAGTCAGTCACAGCTGTACGAGCACAAGTTGTTTAGTTGTGCAGCACAATCAACAAAGCTTAACACCCCCACTTGCTCTTATACAGTGAACTTATTCTCCATTATGACAAAATCTATTTACATTCCAAACAAACATTTTTTGAATCTATCCATCTTGGCCTTTGTTACAGGCTTTGTTAAAACATCTGCAACCATGTCTGTTGTTGGACAATACTCAACAGTTATCTTTCCATAACTCAGCATAGATCTAATAAAGTGGTACTTTATGTCTATGTGTTTACTTCTCTGTCGACAGACTGGATTCTTAGACAAAGCAATAGCACCTTGATTATCTTTTACAGGCACATAACACTCATCAGTCAACCCTTTTATCAGTTGTAAAAGATATAAACTCTCCTGTACTGTGGCAGCTAGAGCTATATATTCTGCTTCACACGTTGGTAACACTTTGCTGTTTCTTGGTTTTCCATGAGATAATAGAGCCATTTTTGTTTAAGCTAAAACAGTAGCCTGTAGGGCTGCGTCTGTCGTGATCTGAAGCCCAATCTGCATCACAATAAGCTACAAGTTCAAGCTTTTCTTCACTTTTTGTATAGCACAGCTCTTGATTTATTGTCCCTTTTAGGTATCTTAACACGTGTTTTGCTGCTGTTAAGTGTTGCTCTTTTAGTTTAGACAGATACTGGGAAAGTTTACTAACAATCCAACATATTTCAGGCCTTGTACAGGTCATTACGTAGATCAAACCGCCAACCATTTCACGATACCTTCTTGCATCAACAGATTCACCTTCATCATCAAAATGTATCTTTTGTTCACACGGAGTAGACCTAGCTTTACAGTCAGACATAACAAATCTTTCCAAAATGTTTGTTATGAATCTCGTTTGGTTCATCTTTATCTCTCCTTTCTGTGTAAACTCAACACCCAAGAACGTTTTTAGTTTACCAAGGTCTTTCAGCTTAAACATTTTTGTCAACATTTCTTTTACTTCATCAAGTGACTTTGAATCCTTTGATGCAACAACCCAGGTTAACAGATGAGTTTCTGTTTGTTTACTATAAACACAATGATCTGCTTCATTCTGTATAAAACCACTTTTGCAAAGGCAATCATGCAGCATTTTATTCCAGTTCCTCCCAGACTGCTTTAGACCATATAAGGATTTGTTCAACCGACACACAAACTTTTTACCCGTGTCCGACTTGATTTCAAAGCCTTCAGGCTGTTCAATGTACACAGTCAATGGGAGCGTTCAGATACGCTGTTTTTACATCCATCTGATGCACCTCCCAAGTCATTCTGTGCAGCAAGCTGCATTAATGTGCATACAGAAGTCATATTAGCTGTTGGAGAAAATGTTTCTTTGTAATCTACTCCTGCTACTTGACTATATCCTTTCGCTACATATCTGGCCTTATATGTCTCTGTTAAATATGCATTTTCTATAATAGCATAAACCCATCTGCCCCCAACTATGGATTTACCTTCCGGCAGTGTAGTTAATGTGAACGTATTATTTTCTTCTAAGGACTTCACTTCTTCTTGCATTGCCTGTGCCCACATTTCAGACTTTGATGAAGTGATAGCCTCCTTGTATGTCTGTGGAATATTTTTTAGCATTTTGTAACAATAATCGACATCAATTGATTCCTCATCTTCCTCCACTCTACATTCATAGTCATTCAGGTACTCTGGACGTTTCCTCTCTCTCTTAGGATAACGTGTACCTTGACTTCCTTTGGTCTGAATATTGTTTTTGGATTCTGAGGCTTAAGTTTCACTTCAGGATCTTGTTTAGTCATTGGCTCTTTAGATACAGAAGGGATAAGCCTCTCCCCAAATACATAGTCTTTGGTTAAAATCACATCCGTCTGAGTGGAATGTTCAACCACAGTCTTGGTTACAAACTTCACTAACCTGTGCTTAAGTACCTTTCCTGTTTCTGGGTAGTAAACCAAATATGCTGGGCTATTTCTATCATAGCCAACAAAGATTCCAGTTTCACTTCTGGAGTCCAACTTTTTCAATTTCAATTCTTTATTCAGGACAATGCACATTAATAAACAAAGAAGAAGAAAATATCATTTCTATAGCGCCTCTCAAGATAAAAATCACGAGGCGCTTCACAAAAACAAAAAATATAAAAAAATGTAAAAATATAAAAGCATTTAGAAAATGTTTAAAAATATATTTAAAATGAGCAAAAAATAAGCAATTGCGATTTAAAAGAAAACATGTTGAGAAAGAGAGAGAGTGAACAGGAAAGAGGGAAATCAGTGGATCCTGAGGAAGGTGGAATAGGTGGGGAGAGCAGAATAAAGAGAGAGAGGTGAAGAAGGTCATACAAAAGTCAGCTTGAACTAGTGAGTCTTCAGCTGCTTTTTGAAGGAGACCACTGAGTCCACTGATCTCAGGCTCAGGGGGAGAGAGGTCCAGAGTCTGGGGGCCACAGCAGCAAATGACCTGTCACCTTTGGTCTTTAGCCTGGTGCTGCACAACCAGTAGGCTTTGATCACTGGACCTCAGGGACCTGCTGGGGGTGTAGGGACTAAGAAGATCACCAATGTAAGATGGTGCTTGTCCATGTAAGGCCCTCTAGACCAGAACCAGGATCTTGAAATGAACCCTGAAGTTGACTGGCAGCCAGTGAAGCTGGAGGAGAAGCGGGGTGATGTGGGTGTGTTTGGAGGACTTGGTCAGAAGCCGAGCACAGGCATTCTGAACCACCTGTAGACGGTTCAGGGAGGTCTAAGCAGGTGTGTAACAGCTGCAGCTTAGACATCTCGTGGGGCTTCTGCATAAAGATGGTAGGAGATTCCTTTGAAGGAGCTCAGGATGTGCTGAAGAGGAAGCAGATAGAAGAGAAGAGGAAGAAGCAGAGCCCCCAGCACAGAACCTTGTGGGACACCATGGGTAAGGGAGGTGGTGGAGGACCTAAACTTGGAGAGGGCCACAGAAAAGGAGCGCTCAGAGAGATAAGAGGAGAACCACTCCAGAGCAGATCCTGATAGGCCGACCCAGTCTCTCAGCCTCTCCAGTAGCAGGTGATGGTCAACAGTGTCAAAGGCTGCAGTCAGGTCCAGCAGGACCAGAACAGAACAGTCCCCTGCATCACTGTGAGTCAGAAGGTCATTAGAGACCCTAAGAAGAGCTGTTTCAGTAGAATGAGCTCTACGAAAACCTGACTGGCAGGCGTTGCAGATTAGCAACATTAAAACCTGCCTACCTGGTTACTCCACATACATATTTCATGAGCATTTTTTAACTCAGAAGTTCCCCTGAAGGACTTAGTTGTTCGTCCTTTTATCAAAACTTATTTTGAGCCTGAGAGGGTTAAAGCGAGAATGATAACAGACCGGAAGCCAGTTCAGGGAGGCCAGAACCGGACTGATGTGGTCCCATTTTCTGGTCCCAGTCAGAAATCTGGCAGTGCTGTTCTGCACAACCTGTAGGCGGGACAGTGATGACTGACACAGCCCTGCATATAGAGAGTTGCAGTAATCAAGCCTAGAAATTACGAAAGCATGGAGTACCCGCTCCAGGTGGGCTCTGGACAGCATAGGCTTGACTTTTGCAAGGCGTCTCAGATGAAAAAAACAGGACCAGATCACAGAGTTGATGTGAGCATCAAATTTAAGTCCAGAGTCAATTTTCACCCCCAAACTAGTGACAACTGGTCACATCAACTTTCTCGATCCTGTGTTAAACATATTATTTGGGATGTGCAGGACACAGCTGCCTGGAGCACATGAATAATCAGCGCTCTGTTGCTCAAAAGACTCCCGGGTACGCTGACTGGCCAGAGGGTGAAACGTGGACATGTCTGGGGAAAAGAGGACGTTTGGTCACCCTATCAAAAGATGTTTAAATAAAGTAAAACAAATTTCAAAATCAACCAGTCAAATAAATAAATGATGTAATTTGTTCGTACGTCTGTGGGGTTTCTCTTTCTTTCATCAACATCCATATCCGTGTCTTCTGATTTCTGGTTTGTGAGTGGATGAACAGAAGCACTTCCAACAGGAAAAATGTAGAAAACTGAGTGACTTCCGGTTTCTTCTTCTTCTTCTTCATCTTCATCTTCATCTTCATCTTCTTCATCATCATCATCAGCAGCAGCAGCAGCAGCAGCAGCCAGTCAGTCAGTCAGTCATAGTCGACGAATGGCTGAAGATGAAGCTCAGGTCATTGATTTATTTTGGACACAGATGTTTTTAGGTCTGACCCTCCCTTCTGTTTCCATCTCATTGACACCTTAGGAATAGATGTTTGTGTGTTCTTCCAGGTGAACATTTTGGAGAGGAATTTGGGAAGATCAACTTGATGCGAAAGGTCCCTGCTCTTCGAGATGGAGACTTCTGTTTGGCTGAAAGGTGAAATAAACACAAACCAGATTTAAACTGGTCTTTTCTCTGGATGTCTTACAATGTTTCCTCCCTCAGCATCGCCATCATGATTTATCTTGCTGAGAAGTTTGAGACTCCAGACTTCTGGTATCCGACTGACATCCGGCAGCGAGCACGCGTCAATGAGTACCTGTCATGGCAGCACCAAGGCATCCGCACGCACAGTTCCAAGGTGTTCTGGCTCCGGGTAAGTTCAAAGTTTAGTTTGAAAGTATTGATTTATGTTAATCTAATATACATTTATAATCTGTATTTATTTATTATCCTATTACAACTTTGGTAAACTCTGGAGAACAAACAGTTGTTTTATCACTGGTGAGCTCTTGGATAGAATACAGTGTGGTTTTATTTAGAAGTGAATGTTGCTCTGCAGGTTATGATTCCTATGGTGATGGGTGTGGAAGTCCCAAAGGAGAAGATGGATGCAGCTTTGGAGGACCTGAATTCCTCTCTGAAACTCATCGAAGAGAAGTTCCTGGATGACAGACCCTTCATCGCTGGAGATCAGGTGTCCCTGGCCGACATTGTCGCCATCGTGGAGATCATGCAGGTCATTCATATGGATGAATGGATAAATTCAGTCTAGATCTAATCAGAATTCATTCAAATAGTTAAACTTCCAGAATCAAGTCAGTATTGTTAGCGGTTGTGATTCCAGACTCCACATTAACAGAGCTCCTCCTCCTCTTGTTTCTCCATCAGCCTGTGGGTTCAGGCCTGGATGTTTTCCAGGGGAGACTCAAACTGAGTGCATGGCGTGACCGAGTCCAGGCTGCCATCGGGAAGGAGCTCTTTGACGAAGCCCACCAGGCCATCCTGGGAGCTCAGGAGAATGTTAAACTCCTGGATCCCACCGTGCTGCAGGCGTCCAAATCCAAAATCCTCCGGTACTTCATGTGAAGAGGAAACTGATACTATCTGAACCAACAGTATGAGATCGTTGGAACATCAGGCTCACAAAAGCCCGTTTTTAAAATTATTTTTCAGTGCAGTTTTACTTTGCACAGTGTTAATCATCTGTAACATCTCAATAAAAATGATTTGACCTATCTGTCTGCTCCAGACCAGACCCTAAATATTAACAGCTTGCTCCGATTGAGAAGTAAATGCAGTGGTTTAGGCTGTAAATACAAAAGGAAATAAATGTCTTTGTCACAAAACAGGCAAATTCTCATCGTTCTTAATGTCATCTGTTGTTGAGGAATGATGGAGACGTTAGTCGTTTTGGTGAAATCTGGGAAAACTAAGTGGAATCTCCTAGAAGAACCAAAGGTCTCAGAACTGCGAGTTGCGATTGAGTCTCAGCTACAAACTCTAGTTTAAGCTTTTTTTTTTTTTTAACTTGATGTGTTTTTGACAATTAGCTG